TGCAGGGAAAGGCTTATAAACCGTTGTTCAACGACCTTTGTAACGTTGTCACAAGGGCTTTATACGCTTTAGGGCTTCAGGATTGAGGGTTTCCGGAGTTCGGGGTGGGGTTTAGGGCTTAGGATCGTGCGGCTGACGGACACAACCCTGCCTTGCCCATGATAAGGACCACACAGCTGATCCATAATTTGCATAAATTAGCTCTAGTAAACAAGACGACTGAATCATTAGTAAGTGATTTCCTTACAGTGCCATATCTATATAATTTACATATTGAATCTATATAATGTGTGTATGTATATGTATGCGTATATATATATATATATATATATATTTATAAGTACTTATATATATATATATATATACACACTCTTATATATATATATATATATATAGAGAGAGAGAGAGAGGGAGAGAGAGAGAGAGAGAGAGAGAGAGAGAGTCATACTGTCATGCTGCCCTAAATGCTACTGTGATTCGCAAGGCCTCGCTATTCGTGCAGGATGTTATGTCGAAGAAGACGCACTTGTCGTGAACCTAAACCCTACTTGGAGGGTCGGGGGACTTAGTAAGTAGTTATTTTAGAAACTTATAAATACCATATCCCCAAATAGGGTCCCTTTTGCCTCGCAGCCCCTTCACAGGGCAGAGGCAGTTGGAACCAAGTAGATAGACGGGGTTCGGCATAAAGCAGCAGTTTGGGTTTAGGAGCTTTGGGTTGAGGATCACGGATTGGGGGTCTTGGGGTTTAGGGGGTTTGCGGGGTTTAGGGGGTTTATAGGGCTTAGGGTTGTAGGGTTGACTGACGGTTGAGGAAGTTTTTTGGGGATGGGTCGGATGGTGCTCTTTCTGTGCTGCTCAAGCTGCTAGTTGAACCTACATCGTAGTCGCCTCAAACCGCGTCAAATCGAAACCCTGACAGACCCCCGAACTTTCAGGGTTTAGGCGGCTTAGGGTTACGTGCTTACAATCCTTACAAAACGCGCTGTGGGGCACTACCAATAACAAACAAAACGACAGTAAACCCTAAACCTGTCTGGCATGACTCCGAAACCCGTGAATCTTGTGCCATCGGGAGCTTGTTTTGGTCTGATGTAGACCAAGGATCATGAAGTGGATTCTGATATTAAGGCCCTTGAAGACAAGGGGGCTTATTGCAGCGGTTTACATTAAACAAACAATCAAAAAAAACCTTAAACCCCGAAGCCTCACATCCCAAACACCCAAAACCCAGATACTCTACACTCTACACCAGGCTGGCCCTATTCGTCAAAACGACCCTCTTCAACCCAATAAGAGGAAACATAGCACAATGGGGGTTTCCGAAATGGAGGACCCAAATAGTGGGACCTTGTTATATATAAGGACCACAAAACAGGGTAACCCCCCTTTTTTCGGCAACTCCCACATGAGGCCAAGATACCAGCTGGTCCGTCGCAGTGCGAGGAGAAGGAATGTTCGGATCCGCGCTGGCGCGGTAAGCGAATACCTTCCCAGAGAGCCCAATACCCCTTATTAAGGAATATAGCTTCATAATATGAGGCCCTATATAGTTCAAGCCAAATTCCTTAATTAAGGGGTATTGGGCTCTTTGGGTTTGTCGTCGAACATTTAAAACCTTAGTCAGTATAGTTTCAGGATTAGGGCTTACTACGGCCTAAACGGGAGTAAGGAATTTTGCCCTTCAACGCTGAACACCAAGAAGCTTGGACCCTAAACCCTGGAACAACCCAAACCCTAATCCGTCAATAAAATTAAGACCCGACACCCTGCAAAACCTGAAACCCTAAACCCTGAAGGGTGTGCACCACCAGGGTCACGTCTTTGGGCTCAGCTCTTCTCAAGCTTCCGGTGGCTTCTTGCTGTTTCAATATGGGAGTCTCCCAGGCCCGAAACCCGAAGACCATGGTTTTGGGTTCAGGGTTTAGTAGGGGTTTGGGTTTAGGGTTTATATGTAGCACCCTAAATCGTAGTATCCTTATGTTAACGACCCCAAAATAAGGTACGCTTAATCGTCGGAAACTCCCAGAATGATGAACGCCAGACGTTAAACTTTCAACCTCAGGCTCTAAACCCTAGGGGCTTTGCTTGGAAGATCATGGGACTTAGTGACTTAAAGGGTTCTTTAGGGAGTTCCCTAAAGGTTCTATAAGGGATCTAAAGGGGCTTACGGTTTAGGGTCTACTTGGAGGGTTATGGGACTTAGTAAGTAAGGTTACAAGTACCTTGATGGAGTTCTACGTAGTTAAGCACATAGTTACCTTAATCATATTCCTAGTTACCAAGTCCCATGACCCTTTAGGTAACTCCAAGACCTGGGCCTTAAATTCTATTAGGCTTCAGAATTTCATTTGTTGATTTGCGAGTGGGGATGAAACGCTAGGCGTTGGTTCGTTTAAATAACGGTCCCTAGAGGTCCTAAACACCAAACCCCTCTTTCATGTTGTGTATCCCAGCGGGTCCATATATACTACCATCACGGCTAAGGTTCCAGAAGACCATCCCTATTGTGGTTTTGGTGACCTCATTCCAGATCATTCCATAATGCTAGTGTATATGCACCCTCTGGGTGTGTCAACTTTATATCCTTCCTGGCTTTTGGCTTGGTTCGCAGCTTTGGACTTGCTCTTGGCATTTTTTGGCTTGGCGGGCTTCGCGTTTGTTGGGCTGGCTCGTGGCTTTCTAGGATGCCCAGTAACCCAGGAGTAAAAGGCTCTCTTTTTGTCGTATTGGGTAACTTTACAAGGAACCTAGGACTACACCAGGGGAATAAGGGTAGTACTGGGCATCTTAGACTATGGCTTCAGGTGTATTCAACAATCAGGTGGCAGTTGCCCCCTAAACCCTAAACCCTTAAACCCTAGGGTTTTGGGTTTAGGGCGTACGTACTCTGGACTGCGGTCTGCTCTTGCCCGGCCACATGGTGCTTGGGGTTAAAGGCCCGTTAAGGAATATTTGTCGGCGTCCCTATGCAACGCACACACACGTCTGCACACTCACTGTGAGTAGGAAAAGAAAGCGCAGGACCTGCGGAGCTTCTTGCACGTTGGCAGCCCCACTAACTTACTCCAGGCTGAACGGTTTACAGTTTACAGCCAGCCTGTGAAGTTGTAAGAAGGCAAAAGGAAAACTGGGGGTGGCGGTTGCTATGGCATGCTGCGTGTAAGTGAGCCAGTGCCAGGCTAGTTCAGAGATGCCGACCCTTTCGTTGGTCGTGGCCTGTGTGGTGGCTAAGGAGGAATAAACCGCCCTCATCGCCGGAGCAACCTTCTTTTGCATGGCAACCGTGGCTGGGGCGTTGTGGTCTACTCCCTGTGCTATGGCACTGTGGAGGATTGCGGCTGCAGCGCTGTGGGGGGATGCACTGAAGAGGAAGCGTGGATCGCTGAGCCTGGCTTCCATAGGCTCCACTTTGGCTGTGAGCTCTCGCGGCTGATCCTCCCGTCTCTCTCCCTGCAGCTTCACTTGTTCAAGCTGAGCTGCTACCTGTGAAAGGAGGAAGGACATCTGGTCCAGCTGCTCAGACTGTCCCGACATGGCTGCGAAAAGTAAGGAACAAGGGACTGTGAAGCTTGAACCGCTCGTGAGTTTTAGGCTATCCGTCGCAATACCTGGCAGATCATTGCAAGGCTCAAGCCAGCATGCAACTCCAGCGGGCTCATAGACACCGCCGGTAGCCAAGGCATGCATTGAAATCCACGAGGTTCCCCAGTAAGCAATCATTGAAGGCAGGCTCAAAGGCAGGATCCAGGAACCTCCCACAAACTAGGCTGAAACATGATACGGACCCCTAGGACCTGCATGTTCCTCAAACAAACGCAGCCTCGACCTGAACCCCCCTTTGAGGGTATTATTAGTTATTGGAACCATTAGGTATCGATGCCCAAACCTTCAAACCACGGCTCAGCATACGACGAAAAAACGTGTACGCACCGGGGCCACAATGCGTGGCTGGAGGGAGGCCATGTGTAGACTGTGGTGTCGGAGCGGCTTGGAAAGCTTGGGCCTCGAACCAGCGCATGCGCACGGCCAGCCGCGCGACTCGCCGCCTCCCCCAAAATAGCAAGCAGCTGCCTGCGCGCTTCGAGGAGAGCACTCACTGCATTGGCCTGGCGCTCGATCCCTCGCACGTCGACAAACTGTCTTGTCGATAGAGGACTCTGCGCCTCGCTGGCTGCAGAGGTTCCTGGAGGAAAGTTGGAAGGCGCGCCATCGCTGAACACGGATAACCAGGCTGATGCAGACAGAGCTATCGAAAAGCTTGAGCCAAAATGGCTACGGATTAAGGAATGCACCTTACAAGTTATAGCAGGATCCCTCATATGATTTAAGGAATGTTCCTTAATTAAGGGATGTTGAAGGGCTTACGGGCAGGGCCTCCTCTCGAATGGCTTTCAGAATGTACAGCTGCCTTAAACCGTGAACCCTAAAGCCTAAACAGCTCGGCTCTTCAGTCCACCGGGAGGATTAAGAAAATAGATCCCTTTAATGGAGGTTCCTTTGGGCTTCCCCAAAAAGCTCCTTAGGGGATCTATAAGGGTAGGGCCTATCAGGGGGGATGACAGGGTTTATAGGGCTTGGGGAGTAGTTCCCCTTTTGAGGCTTCTTGTAAGGTACCCTTGAACCCTATAAACCCTAAACAGAGGTCTCAGCTTACAAGACATGGGTTCCATGGGGTGAAGGCCTGGGATTGAAAACTTAAAGCTAGGGTTATAATTAAGGCAATTACCCTAAACCCTAAACACTAAACCCTGAACCCTGAACCCTAAGCCCCAAACCCTAAACCCTAAGCCCCAAACCCTAAACCCAAAGCCCCAAACCCTAAACCCTGAACCCCAAACCCTGAACTGTTAGGGGCCCGAAAAAGCAGAATGGGGATTTGATGCGTATGACAGTCTCATCAGACTGTTCGGACAAGAACAGGGGATAGCATCACTCGGCATTCAAGCCCGTATATTATGAACTTCCATTTCGAATTCCAAGCCCTAAACCCAGCCCGCCTTGCTTCCGTCCCGATCGCCCCAGAAGGGAGGAAAGCCGGAGTAGAGAAGCTCGTAGAGAATCACACCCAGCCTTGCTAAGGGCAAAGGGTTTCGGGTTTAGGATTTTGGGCCATTCCCCCCCCAAAAAAAAAGACAAAAGTTTAGGATCCTAAACCCTCAAAGCCGGAGCTGGCTAAGGGGGGGCCGCCGCACTCGACGGAGCGCGTAGGAAAATGACGAGATGATGCGGCCGAAGCGAGGCCCATTATCGATGGCCTCTAGCGTGCTCCGGAACCGAAGCAAAACTGTCTTTCCTTTTTCGCCGAATCGGCCAAGTGCGATGTCGCTGTCGCAAACCCTAAACCTTAAACCCTAAACCCCGAACTGTAACCCCTCAACCCTTGACCCTAAATCCCTAAACCCTAAACCCTTGACCCTAAATCCTAAACCCCGAAACCCTAAACCCCAAAAAGGATACTACTCTGGCCAAGAAGCGCCCAGACATCCCGACTCGGATAGCGGTACGCGTTCGAGCCCTGTAGCGCATAGTCCTAGTTCACGGCCGCTGATAGAAAAAAAATAGTATACCTTGAATATACGATAACATACTATAGTTTTTATTCATTCCTGATGAGGGTTGAAGCACCCATAAAAAATCCAAAATGTTACCCAACTATGACAAAGACTCTGGGTAAACTTCCCACGGAATGTAGCCGGGCCTGGATGGAAGGCTTTGTGCAGTTTAGGGTTCAGGGCTGTGTTCTAGGCTTCGTTTTACAGTTGATCTGCGCCCCCTTTAGGGTTTTAGGCGTTCCGGGTTCAGGGTTCAGGGTTTAGGGTTCACGGTTCAGGGGTTTAGGGTTCAGGGTTTAGGGTTTAGTTGGGGTTTGAGGGCCTTGAGGCTGCAACGGCTTGGGGATTTCAGGGTTTGGGGTTGTGTAGGACAGTTTAAGAATTAGGGGTTACGGTTTTACTTTGTCAGGGTTTAAGGCTTCGGGGGTTCAGGCTCTCAGGGTTTAGGGCTTTCAGGCTTTAGATGGTCAGGATGTCGGGTTTCGGGCTAAGGGTTATGAGGGACTCAGCTAGAAGCAATGCTCCCGAAACCCTAAATCCTAAACCCTAAACCCTAAACTTTAAAAACCCTAAGTCCTAAACTCGAAACCCTAAACCCATAGATGCTACACCCTAAACCCTAAACTCACCCCCTTGGTCAGGGACTTTGCAAACGGCAACCCATCGCTGGAAACCCAAAAGCCCTTCAAAGATCCGTAACCCCATAATATAGGGGCCTTGATAATTAGAACAGGGTTCTTTAAGGTTTCCTTGCCAAGGGGGTCTATGCACAAGGGTTACTATAAGGGTTCTAGTATATAAGGGCCTTAGTACTTAGAATAGGGTTTTGGGGCCCAATATACTATAAGTATAATACGGAGCCCCCAAAAGTGACAGTAGAGATCAACATCCCCCTAATACCTCGCTCCTGCGCCTGCTCTTGCTCTTGCTGTTGCTCCTGCTTATCCTCCTGCTGTTAGGTAACGCTTGAAACCTAATGCCCCAAACCCAAGACCCAAAACCCCGAAACCCAAAGCCCTGAACCCAAAACCCTGACGCCTAATTACCGCCAACCCAGCAGCTCTCAAGTCATCACACCTCCTGTCCACTCCCCTTCACAAGGTACCCGGAGCAGTCGTGATGCCCGGGTACACTCAACCGTTAAGCGGCTTAGGCCTCTTTGGTCTAGCGTACCATAATAAGGGAACCATGTCCCGAGGTACCGGGATCTTCCAAAATCCCTGAAGTGAGCAATATACCTAAAGTCATCTTCCGGATCTTACTATGACTTCAGGGTACATTGCTTAAAACGGGAACGGGAAGATCTGGGTATCACCGAGGGAGGCCGAGGGAACCCTGTCCGGGTTCATCGTCAACAGGCTGATAATCCTCTGGAGGTTCATGGGACATAGTAAATCAATCTAGGTTCCTGAGTAAGCCCCTAATAATAAGGTACCCTTTTCTGTACTATCTATTGGGCGTTAACAAGGGAATCCGACTGGGGAACCTAGAAGTGCATGTATAAGTACCTTGATTGGTGCTAGAAATAACTATGAGTATAGTTACCTTATCTGTAACCCTGGCTACTACGTCCCATGAATCTTTGAACAGGGTTTGGGTTTTTCGGCTTTAGGGCTTTGGGTAAGTTTAGGGGTTCAGGGTGTGCTGTGCTAACAACGACAACAGCCGTAGGGAAAGAAGAGTCTACGTTGCTGGAATAGGCTGCCTGGAATATTTATGGTAGAAGTATACAAGAACTACGGGAATACCGAGACTTAAGTACTCCATATTACTTTCGTCATTTTGATACCAACCTTTCAGTACCAAACCTAAAACCAAAGGCATGGACTACGAACGGTTAAGATCAGAAAAAAACCTCCCAAACTCCAAGCCCAAGCTCTCAACAGGGTTGAGGTGTTTACGGGTTAGGGCTTAGGATGCCCAAAAACCGGTACCAGGACCCTACACTCCGAACCCTTAGCCTCAATCCAACACTCTAAGACTCCTCCACAAACCCCTTGAAGGATTCTGAACCCCACAAAAACCTAAACCCTAAACTCCTAAACCAGGCCATATGGATGTAGGATACCATTTTGGGAAGGGCTCTGATTTTGGTCCGGTCTGGGTCAGCCGAGCGGCGTCCCTGCCCAACTGCACGCGTATTTGTCGTTCATGTCACACGCCTTTGTTGGCTTCTGAAGCCATTCGAAAAATTAAATTTTAGCATCCTTGGCAATATAGAAACGCAAAAGAATTCAGGTCCTTCAAAGGCCGATCAAAAAAGAGGCCGAGAAACCAATCCCAAATCGATGACGGCTGCGTAGCAGTTATCTCCCACACAGTTCCTTGACGGCTGAGGGTTAAGAGCTTAGGTTTAGGGGTTACAGGGGAACTCCACAAAGTTGGAATATGGTTTCAGGGTAGGATACCCTATAATTTACCATAGAAGGGTTAGGATAATCATATTCCAACTTTCTGGCTTTTACTTTAGGGTGTAGGGCTTCAGGCTGCGACTTCCTGGTAGGTTTCGGGAGCAGCTTGTTTGGGAGTTGGGTCAAGTCAATCGTGAGTTCCATGGATTTTCCGGTCTGTGCTTGTCATCATCGGCGTGGGCATTTGGCTGTCTGTGTGTATGCATATTTGCACTTCTCAGTTTTAGATTGCTTAAGCTGGAATTACCCTAAACCCTAAATCCTAAACCCGAATCCATGTTGAGCGCTTTCTGATACCAGTAGAGTCTTTCAAGAGCACTCCAAGCAGTCTCAAAACCTGTATGGCCTACGCCCTAAACCCCCTAAATTCTAAGCCCTAAACTTGAAACATCCTAGATTTTACAGCCTACGACGATCCTAAGCTATTGCGGATTTGAGATTTAAGGTTCAGGGATTATTCTCGAAGATATGCCGCTCAAGCTGTTCCGATGGGCCTCGCTTCAGCAGACACGTTTGGAATGGCACTCTGTCTTTAGGACTTTAGATTCTAGGGTTGATGTTTTGTTTGAGGCTTTGGGTTTAGAGTTGATGTTTAGGGATAAAGGTCTTTCTTTAATTTATAACAATGGTTGTAAAGCTACGTCTTGAATAATAGCCCCCCCCGACCAAAACTTGTCTCTGCGGTTCTCCGCGGATGCCTGTGTCGGGGTCGGGATCACCAAAAGCTCCAAACCAAGCCCCGATCACTCCCAGATAACTACCGTGACTAAAAACCCCTTCATTTTGAGGACTTTTCCTTCCAGCCTACACTCCCCTCCACAATCGACCAAGTCTGACCCCTGGTAGTGTGCAGTAGTACAGTAGCAGTACAGTAACAGAACAGTAGTACCATAATAGTACAGTACGCTGTAATAGTACAATAGTAGTACAGTAGTAGTACTGTAGATGTACAATAGTAGTACAGTAGTAGTACAGAGTAGTACAGTAGTACCCTAAACCCTAAACCCTAAACCCTAAACCCTAAACCGTGGCCAAGTATGGTAATAGTACAGTATGCTTACGGTTTAGGGTTTAGGTCTAAGCGGGGTTTTGAGCTTAGGGGGGGAGCTTCGGGCTTCACAGGGCTAGGGTTTTAGGGTTTAGGGTTTAGGGTTTGGGGTTTAGGGTTTAGGGTTTAGGGTTTGGGGTTTGGGGTTTAGGGTTTAGGGTTTAGGGTTTAGGGCTAGGGTTTAGGGTTTAGGGTTTTAGGGTTTAGGGTTTAGGGTTTAGGGTTTAGGGTTTGGGGTTTAGGGTTTAGGGTTTAGGGTTTAGGGTTTAGGGTTTTAGGGTTTGGGCGGGGGTTTAGGTCGTGGGTGCCTTAAGATTGACCATCAGCAGACAGGACAGTCACCCCCGAAAAAGTCCACCAATTCCAAAAAAACGCATTAATTAGGCAGCAGTTTTTTGGTACCGGCTTGAATAAGGAAAAAAACACATTAAAGAGGCACGCGGGATTAAACAAGCCGTGACATTGTTTCTCGACTCCCCTTCGGGTGCCTGGCGCCGAAGAAATACTACAGCAGGTTTGTGGACTGCTCTGTTTCCTTGAAACCCCTACTACTATTTGCTTAAGAACTCCCAACAAATAAAAAATATATTCCTTATGGGGGTAATATAGGGATTATTATTTTTATTTTTTGGTGGTTTCTCAAGCAAATAGTAGCCTAAACATTAAGCCCCAAACCCTGAACCTCCAATGCTCTCAATTGAAGGCTTTATACTTGGGGGTTCATGGGACTTAGTAAGTAGGGCTATAAGGACCTTACTTGGGGTTGCCTCTATGCGTAACTACAAGTATATATAGTTACGTTAATTAGTTATAACCCTAGTTACTAAGTCCCATGACCCTTTAAGTAGAGATTTCGGGGTTCTGGAGGGCTTCAACCCACAGTCGTGCACCCCCGAAACCGACCACGCAGCTTAGGGTTTGGGGTTAAGGGCTTCGGGCCTTGGGTTTGGGGTTTAAAGTTGTCGGCTTCGGGTTCGGGGTTTGGGGTCTAAGGTTTATGGCTTCAGGGTTTAGGGTCGTCCACGAACCCTAGAACCTAAGCGCAGCCCAAACTCATCATGACATTCAGCGTCTTCAAGTCACGGTGGATTAAGCCTCGTTGGTGCAATGCTTGCACGCCCTTGACGATGTCATGGAAGAGCATCAGCATGAATGCTTCCTCCACGCAGCGAGCCACAGTAAGGAGTAAATAGTGTTCCACAACGGCATGGCTCGTTTGAGAGACTGTTGCAGCCCCTGCTGTATGTGTAGATATATACTGTTACATACATATACACATACAGTCACATACACATACATGTACAT